GATGACGAATAAGATGGAGAATAGTAGTTTGATGAAAAGTTTGATGAATTTGTAGAGATTGGTGTGATTGATAAAATTGGTGAACTAAAATTTTGAATTGAATTAAAATGTAAAAACCCATTATTAATAATACTATTGCTGTTATTATTATTATTAATATTATTGTTATTGTTATTATTATGATTGTGATTATTAAAATTATTTAAATTATTACTATTCAAGTTATTTAAATTAAAACTATTATTATGTAACATATTATTTATATTAAAATTATTTACAAGGTGATTATTTAAAGAATCACCATTATTATTAATACTATTTAAAGTATTAACATTATTATTAATATGGTTTTTTCCATTATTTATGCCATAGTGGTTATATAAAAAGGGGTTTTTGTTGCTATTGTTATTGTTATTGTTATTGTTATTGTTATTGTTATTGTTATTGTTATTGTTATTGTTATTGTTATTGTTATTGTTATTGAGGTTAGTGGGGTTATTATTGGGGTTATCACAATTATTTATTTTATTGGTTACCATTGTTATTATTATTAATACAATGGTTATTTATATTATTATTTATGTTATTTATATTGTTGTTTATATTATTATTATTATTATTATTATTATTATTACTATTATTCATATTATTATTATTATTATTACTCATATTATTATTATTATTGTTTTGAGCCCCACTGAAATTGGGAAAATATGAAAATGGAAATGGCCAAATAGGTGCAGTACCCAAATTATTATTCAATATACTATTGATTCCATTAGTTGTTAAATTGGAGCTTAGGTTTTGATTGGGATTTGTATTGGTGTTGGTGTTGTGGTTGTAATTGTGATTGGGATTTGAATTTGGATTTGTAGTTGTGTTTGTGTTTGTGTTTATATTTGCATTTGTATTTGTATTTACATTTACATTTGCATCTGCATTTGTGCTTGTGTATGTGTATGTGTATGTGTTTGTATTTGTATTTGTATTTGTATTTGAGCTAGTTAAAGTGTTATAAGAGCTATTTAAAATATTGAAATTACCATTGTTATTATTTAAAAATTGGATTGGTAATTGATTGTTATTATTATGAGGTGGGGTTGAGGAGGATGATGAAGGGTTAGATGTTGATATTGTTGTGGTTATTGTAGTAACTTTGTTATTACCATTGGGCAGTATTATTGGTATTATCATTATTATTGGTATTATCTACATTATTTTGATTGCCATTAAATTGATATAGGGGTAATTGACAAAAATTTCTATAGTTTGAATATTTTTGTTTATTTTCTTGAAACTCTTGCATTTTTTGAAGCTGCTCTTGCTGTATTGCCTGAATGTGTTCTTGAATACGCTTATGAAAAGAGGCATTTGTTAAAAAATAATTATAACTGCTAATATTGCTACTATTTAAATTATTATTTGTATTTTTTAATAAAAATTCTTTTTGATTTTTCAAATTTGCCAAATGTTGATTTAATAATTGACTAGTTTCATAAACCTCTTTAAATATACCATTTGGTACTGTAGTTTGTAAAATTAATTTTTCGTATTGATGTTTCTGTTGTTCGGCCCTAAATATTAAATACTGAATATCTAACAGTTGTTGTTGATTCGATGATAAAATGGGTTGCTGTGATGATCTTTTAGGTGTCAATATTGTATTTGGTGCTATTCGTTCTATATTATTTGTTTTTTGATGCTGTTTCGATGATTTTATTGGTCTGCTAATTAGACAATGTATTATATCCTCTGAAGGTGGTAATGCTATGGGATTCTCTGTAAACCATGGATGATTTAATGCCTCTTTTGTTGAAATTCTATTTTTGGGGCTTAGAGTTAGCATTTTTAAAATTAAATCTAATGTTGTATTGGAAAAACTAAATAGTAAAAGGTAACAAAAATTAGTATTATTGGCTTTTAGTTTAGAAATAATGATATGAAAAGTATACTTTTTAAATTTTGATAAATCTTTTAAAGGTTTTCCAGGATACCTTTTAGATTTTGAATTGTATGGGTTAAATCCTTGAAGTTTGGTTACACCTGGCCAATTGTTTTCTGTTGGTGTCCCTAGAGTTTTAAATATCAATTCTAATTGATTTGCTTCGTTTGAACCTGCAAACATATAGTAACCTGTTAACATCTCTACAATAATACATCCTACACTCCAAACATCAACTTCTGGCCCATAATTTTTACTTCCCATCAATAGTTCTGGTGGTCTATAAAATAATGAAATAACTTGATGTGATAAATGAGGGTTACCTATAAATGTTGTAAATCCAAAATCTGCTATCTTTAAATCGAACTTTGAATTTATTAATAAATTTGATGCTAAATAAATAAAACAATTAAAAATGAATTAATAACCTTACTATTTTCCCATGGGATCTTTTTTATACATTATTTATATACTTACGTTTAATATCTAAATGCATTATCTTTTTACTATGTAGTTCATCTAATCCCTCTAGTAATTGATGTATAAAAAACTTTGCACAAGATAATGTCATAAATTTATTTTTGGGCGATATAAATTTCCATAGGTCATATTCGACATATTCAAATACCATTACAAGTTTGTCATCTATATATAATTTAATATAATCTGTGTGTTAAAACGAATGTAATCTATATTAATTTCTGAGCTATAATCTAAAAGTAAATACCATTTGAATAAAAATATTCCAAAAGATGAATAACATTTTTACAATCCCTTAACTTCATTAAGTATTTAACTTCAACGGGTAACTAAATAGCAATAATAAATAAATAATAATATATAAAATATATTGTATAAAGAAACAATTTTGAAGATTTTTGTTTTATTTAAAAAATTAAATTTATTTAATATATTAGTTTTTATTTTCTTTAAATTTCTAAAATTATTAATGTTATTATTATATTTGTTACTATCGTTTATTTTAATGCATACACCATTTTCTATGTTCATAACAGATATAATTTTTAAAGCTACTGTACATTTTGATAAATTATGAATTGCTTTGTAAACTTTTCCGTATGAACCTGATCCTATAAGTTCTATAATTTGAAATGAGTTCATGGCCTGTATATATATATGTGTGTGTGTAGTGTATATGAAAAAATATATATGTATGTATGTATGTGGGTTATAAAGGAGAGTGAATCGTATTATTATTGTTATTATTTTTTATTATTATTACTATCCAAAATAAATAAAAAAAAATAATGATATAAAATAAAAAAAAAAAAAAGAAAAAAAAAACCCTTGTTTCTATTACTGCTTTTTCCAATGCTGAATTATATTACTGATTATAGTTGGTGTTTATTTTTTTTATTTTTTTTTTTTTCACTCTCCTTTGGGAATAAAATATTTTATTATTTATAAATATATGTGTGGGGATAGGAGCGCACCTACTGATGAGGCTACTAAAAAAATAGAAATTAGAAATATTAATGCTTGTTTTCTTTATTGTGTGTATATGTGATATTATTAAAATTGTTGTGGTTATAAATATTAAAAAAAAAAAAAAAAGAAATTTATTTTTAATATTTTTTTTAAAAAAAATTAAAAAATTAAAAAATTATAAAAAATAAAATAAAATATTTATTCATTTGAAATTGATTCTTTTCTACTACTTTCTTACTTGGTTCTTTCTAAACAAAACAAACAAAACAATAATTTATAACTTTTAAAAAAAAAAAGAAAAAACATAATAAAAAAAAAATTTTAAAAAAAATTAAAAAAATAATAAATAATAAATAAAGAATAAAATTTTATTTCAAAACAAACCAAGTATGTATATGTTTTATTATTATTATTATTATTATTATTATTATTATTATTATTTTTATTATTTTATTTCACAACTTACTTTCTATGTGTAAATAAAAATGTGCGTGCGTTTGTATCTGTAAGAATGTGTATGTGTGTGTAAATGTGGTATATTTTTTGGTGAGATATATATATATATGAATTAGTATTGTTGTGAGCAAAAATGAAATGTGGATATGTTTTGTATTTTATCCATAATAAAACTAATTTTTTTTATTTTTTTTTTTTTTTATATTTTTTTTTTATTTTATTTTATTAATTAAATAACAAAAATAATAACCATAATAAAATTAAATAAAATTAAATAGAGAAAAAAAAAAAAAAAAAAAAAAAAAAGATATTTATAAAAGATTATTATGGGAGGTTCCTCATTAGAAAAATTGAATTGGATGAGTGAATTATTTGAAAAAATTTAAATTTAAATAAAATAATATTTTTTTTTAAAATTTTGAATTTTTTTTATTTATTTTTTTATAAATTTTGGGTTATAAAGAATGACAATATAAGTATATAAAATACCTTTTCTACTTTTATTTGTTTGTTATATTGGGCTAGTCGAAAGTCAGTGCTTTTGTGTGACTCTTTTGTGTTTTTTTTGTTAGTGGGAAAAAAAAAAATATCAATTTTGATTTTTTTTTTAATTTTTTTTTTTTTAATTTTTTTTTTGATAAGTGGGTGGGATGAATGGGGAAGATATATTTTTTTTTTTTTTTTCATACATCAATTATTTGAACTAAAAAAACAATATATGATTTTATGATAAAATTTTGGTACATTTGAGTTTAAAAAATAATCAAATTAATGATGATAGATTTTATTTTTATATTTATTATTATTATTTAGTACATATAATTTTTTTTTTTTTAGATTTTGGTGAGTGGACCAAAAACTTCGTAGTGGATTTTTTCGAAACCTAATTCTTTAGCAATAGTATTCATACTATGCATAAATCCAACTGGACCACAAATATAAACATCGGTAGTTTTCTTTGAAGCATCGTCAATGTGAGCAGTTAATTTGGCGAGTGATTCCTTGGTAACATGACCTTGGGTGTCACTGTGAATAATGTCTAAATGTAAAGCTTCATTGTTTTTGGCTTTGATTTCTTTTAATTCATCTTTGAATGGTTGGAATTCTTGGTTTTTGGAAGAGAAAACAAAAGTTGATTTTCTATTTGGTTGTTTGTTAATGGTGTTCTTGAGCATTGATAATAATGGAGTAATACCTACACCACCGCATAAAAAGAGAACTGAATCTTCTTTGGTTTGGTCAATAACAAAATCACCAGCTGGGGCAGTACAGAAAACTTTATCACCAATATTAATAGTATCGTGGAGATGGTTTGAAATAACACCATCAACTTCACCTTTTTCTTTTTTAACAGAAATACGATAACCGTTTTGATTGTCGCCATCTGAAAGACTGTAGTGTCTGAAATGAGTTCTATCGCCAATTTGAACTTTAAGGGTGAGATATTGACCTGGTTGGAATGAAGCAATTGGTTGACCATCAGTTGGTTTTAAATAGAATGAATAAATATTTGGGGTTTCTTGAACTTTCTTTTCAACAGTAAATTCTCTAGTATCTTTCCAACCACCTGGTTGAGTTTCGGCATCTTTATACATATCGGCTTCAATATCAATGAAAACTTTAGCAATAACACCTATATAAAATTTTAATAAATATTAATATCAAAAATTAAATAAAAGAGTTACGGTTTAATTAATTTGTTATTATTTACCATAAGCTTCAGCCCAAGCACCAATAATTTCGTCAGTGGCAGCATCACCTAAAACTTGTTTAATAGCACCGAGTAAATTAGCGCCTACAATATCGTATTGAGCTGGAACGATACCAAGAGCACGATGTTTATGGGCAATTTGTTTAACAGCTGGTAAAATTTCTGGTAGCTTATCGATATGAAGAGCAGCAGCATAGACTGTATTGGCTAAGGCAGTTTGTTGTTTACCTTTTTTTTAAAAAAAAAAAATTAATACTCTTTAATTTAAAAAGCATAAATAAATTATAATAATTCATCCTTACCCTCTCTTTGATTAGAATGGTTAAAAATATTTAAAAGTTCTGGATGAGCAGCAAACATGTTTTTGTAAAAGGTTGATGTGATTTGAACCCCGTATTGCTCGAGGACTGGAACAGTTGATTTGATAACTTGGACAGTTTTTGGGCTTAACATTTTGCGTGTATAAGTTTAGTTTTATATTATGATCGTACTTTACAAAAAAAAAAAAGAAATAAAAGTATTTATATTTATTAATCTTTTAAGATAATTATATAAAAACAAAAATAAAAAATAATAAAAAAAAACCTTTTTTATATTTTTTTTAAAAATTAATTAATTTTAAAAAAAAAAAATAATTTTTTCATAATTTAAATATGAAAAATTTGAGAATTTTCAAATTTTATCAATGCGTTTTTTTTTTGGATAGGGACATTTTCAAAATAATTTGAAAATTATTTATAAACATAGAAAGCGAACTGAAGCGATTTTAACATTATAATGGTGATTTGTTGTTTTTTTTTTTTTTTTTTTTTTTTGTGAATTTTTTTTTAATAATAATAGTTTGAATAATAAAGAAATTATTTAAAGATTTTTATTCGGTTAGCACCAAAAGGTTCAAGCATCTTTAGATTTGATGAGGGTTTTTTCGGAATAAATTATGTATTTTTGTTTGAAAATTAGTTTTTTTTTAAATTACTCTTATCTTTTTTATTTTTTTTAAATTCTTTTTTTTTATTTATACAATTTTGAGTTCTTTTTTTTTTTTGGTTGTTATCATCAATTTTATTTTTTTTTATTATTGGTTACAGAAACATCAATAAAAGCATTGAATAATTGTTGTGAGGTCATAATTGGAGTATCTTTATCTTCATCGTAGTCATAGCTTTCGTCGTCTTCATCTTCGTCATCTTCTTCGTCTTGATGCTTTTTTGATTTTTTGGATGGTTTTGACTTGCTTTTAATTGTTTTTTTTGTAGTTTTTGATTTACTTTTTTTATCATTGTCAGTGGTAGATTTTTTATTGCCACTGTTTTTTGCTTTTAAAGGTGTCCATCTAATCCAATCTTCTTCGACTGATTCATTTAAAGAGTCCTTTTCATTATCTTTGTTTAAGGTTTCAACAATAAAACTTTCTAATCTTTCTTTTAATTCTTGTTTATCACCTTCAGTTGATAAACCATTGATTTCTAATGCTTCTTTTAATTCCCATATTTTCATAGTTTCTGTATCAAACTCTTCTTCTTCTTCACCTATAAAGTCAAATATATTGTATGATTGATTATTTACAATTTTCTAAAATTAAATAATTAGAATAAAGGTTAGTAATTAATAATAATAATGATAAAATAATATAAATAAATAATTATTACCAATGGAGATTCATTTTTAATAGGACTATTTTGATTTGTATTTATATAGTATTTAAAATGATTTCTTTCTTTTCTTTCAACAAAACCAATTTGATTTACTGAATTGAAGGTAACTTTTTTCTTTGAGTTTATTTCATTGTCCTCTTGTTTATCGTCAAATTGTTCTTGTTTGTATTTTTCCAATGCTTGTTTTCTAGTTTTGACAACATTCTTTTCTTTATTTTTTTCATCAATTGTTAAATTTTCAACTTTATCAATAATTTCTAAAAACAAAATATTTAATATAAAATAATATAAAAAAATCAAAAAAAATCAATTTTATATTTACCTTTAATATTTTCTTTATTTTCTTTATTATCTTTATTATTGACATCTTTTTTTAAAATTGATTTCATTTTTGGTTGTTGGTTTTGAATATTACTTAAATCGTTTAATGGTTGTTTAGCATTATTGTTAAAGTGTGCGAGTAAATTTATAATTATATTTGCTTTGGTTGTTGCAACTTGTATTGAATTCTCTTTACAATATCTCTTTAAACAGTCTGCTGTAAAATTGTTTAATTCATCCTCGTTTAATTTTGAATTAATATCTTCGATTTTATTGGATAATAATGGTTTACTTGATTTCATTATATTGTTTATGTTGATTTATTTGATAATTAAATTAATTTATATGATTTTTTTTTTTTTTATTTATTTTAAAAATTAATTTTTTTTTTTTTTTTTTTAAATTTTCAAAAAAAAAAGCGCAATCCACACACAAAAACAATTAACTTTTCTATTTTGGTTTGTTTCACCAAATATATTATTATTATATATTTATGACATTTTATTCTCAATGTTGTTTATTATAAAAAAAACAATTTGAAACCAACAGCAAGAGGATCATATTTTATTTATTATTTTTTTATAAAAAATAATTATATTAATTATATTTATTTAAAATTTTTTTTTTTTTTTTTTAAATTAAATTTTATTTTTTTTTAATTTTTTTTTATTTATTTTTTTTTTTTAAAGATTGGTTAACCATAATTTTTTCGTTCACATAAAATAATAATAAATAAATAAATAAAAATAAATAATTTTTAATATATAAAGGCATTGTTTTATAATTTTTTTTTTAAATATAAATAAAAAAAAAAAAAAATTTGATAATTCAAGACAATGGATGATCTTTTCAATTTTAAAAGTGAAGAAAGAGATTCCAACAGTGGGTTCGATGATGTTTACGAGGATATTAATATCGGGTTAGAGGCCAGCTCTCCAATGTCCAAACAACAGCAACAACAGCAAACATCAAATAACAATGGCTTTTTATTTAATAATATAGATGACGAAGACGAAGAAAATTTCTTTGTTTCACCAAAACAACAAACTTCAAATTTAAATAGTTTTAGCACTACAACTAATAACAGTCATCATAATTCAACATCTCATTATAGTTTTAATAATAAAATCAGCGATGAAATCAATTTACATTTTAATTTTGACGATTATGATAATTCAACAACAGCAATAAATAGTTCAATATTAAATAATAATAATAATAGTAATAGTAATAACAGTAGTAGTTTTTTTAACAAAATTATTTTTAATGAATCAACAGAACTCTTTAAAAGTAATAGTTTAATAGATGATAATAATAGTAATAGTAGCAATAACAATATCAATAGCAATAATAATAGTAATAATAATATCAACAATAATATAAATAATGAGTTAAATAGTAATATTATAAGCACTATGCCCGGTGATAATAGTTTTATTTATGACAATAGTAATAATAATACTAGCATTACAACAAATAGTTATATTGAAAAATTAAATACCAATAATGATAATGAAATTACTTCACCCATCGAAAAAGGACATGTTAGAAATGCTAGTGAACAGTTTTCATCACCAATTCAACAGTCTCAAAAAAAAGAAGAGCAAGAGGAAAATAAAAAAGAAGATGGAAAATCTTCAATCTTCAATTTAAATTCAATAAAGAAAGCAATTTTAAATACATCAAATTCAAATTTATTAAATTTTAGTACTGATGCATTTTGGAAAGATTTAGGTGATAATCCTTTGATTGACCAAGACACTGCTTCTGATCAAGAGAAATGGTTACGTTTAGGTGAAGATATACCACAATGTTCATGGGCAAGACGATTGGACCATAATTTCCCTGACCATAAACACTTTCAAGTTTCAATGTGGCAAGGTCTAAAGTTAGTCGGTATTGGTTATAGAATGTGGAAATATGTAAAGAAAGAAAATTCCTCTGGACGTGTACCAATGATGGATCCATTTAATCTACCAAAACCTGGACCAATTATGGGTGTACCAATAGGTGGTATTGGTAGTGGAAGTATTAATAGAGGCTGGAGAGGCGATTTTGTTCGTTGGAATATGAATAGTGGTTTGGTGACCAATGAAACTGTAGATGTTGATAAGTTTTCAGTTTATATTAACTTTGACGATAGCAATAGTGCCTCTTCATCAACTGGATCAACTCCTAGTGGTACATTCACACCAAATGGTCCCAATTTTGACCCATCATCAACAAAGTCAAAGCAAAAGGCCACTGTATTATATCCTGGTAAACCAAAAAACAATTTAAATTTAGATGTTTGGAACTGGGGTTTAAAAGGGGAAAATAGTTGTTATTTTGGTCTTTTTCCAAGAGCTTGGACTGTATATGAAGAACCACACCCAGATATCAAATTAGTTTGTAAACAAATATCACCTGTAATACCACATAATTATCAAGAGTCATCATATCCAGTTGGTGTTTATGTTTGGAAAATTGAAAATAATAATAAGAACTCGTCTGCTGATGTTAGTTTAATGTTAACCTGGCAAAATAGTATTGGTACCAAATCAGATCAAGATGGAGGCCATTACAATAAGTATGTCATCATATATTATATATTCTAATAGTAAATTAAAATAGATATTAACAATTTTTTTTTAAATATAGATATTTTACATTGGGTGATGAACCAAATAAAAAAATTAAAGGTGTTACATTAATTCATAGAAAAGAACAGAGATGTGCATATAATAGTAGTAATATTGTATATCATGATCCAATGGAATATTCAATTGCAGTAAAAGATGATCCAGATGTAAATATTACATTTAATGAAAGATTCGAAACCACTAGTAGATTGGATGCAGCAAATCTTTGGTACACTTTCAATAAAAAAGGTGAGTTGGAAAATATTCAAGACTCACGTCCATCAGCTCCTAAAAAACCAATTGGTGCTGCTGTTGCCGCTAAAGTTAAAGTACCAGCAGGTGGTTCAAAGACTATAGTATTTTGTATTGCTTGGGATCAACCAATTACACGTTTCCAACTTGGTTCAGCTTACTATAAGAGATATACCAAATTCTATGGTAATAAAGGTGGAAATAGTCAACGTATTGCATATGATGCACTTCAGAATTACAAGAGTTGGGACAATCAAATCGCTCAATGGCAAAATCCAATCATTCAAGATGCAGAGCTACCCTCTTTCTATAAAATGGCACTCTTTAATGAGTTGTATTATTTAGTAGATGGTGGTACAGTTTGGACCCATGGTTCCCCACAAGATCAACTACCTGCTCGTTACCCATTAAAGACTCAATTAAAGCCCGAAGATATCTCTGATCCAAACCATATAGGTCGTTTTGCTTATTTAGAAAGTTTAGAGTATTTGATGTACAATACATACGACGTTCATTTCTATTCTAGCTATGCTTTAGCAATGCTTTGGCCATTATTAGAGATTAGTCTACAATACGATATAGCAGAGGCAACAATGTTGGACTATGGTATTACATGGGAAGGTATTCACAGTGGTCAACAAATACCAAGAAAAAAGAGATGTACAGTTCCACACGATCTTGGAAATCCTGGTGAAGATCCTTGGAAGCGTGTCAATTCTTATAATATTCAAGATATCTCAAGATGGAAAGATTTACCATCTAAATTTGTATTACAGGTTTATAGGGATTATTTGGTTGTTGAGGATAAGAACTTCCTTTTGCAAGTTTACAATGTTGTCGAAGAGGTTATTCAACGTACTCTAGAAAGCTTTGATACAGATCACGATGGTGTTGTAGATAATGAAGGTTTCCCTGATCAAACTTATGACGTTTGGCCAGCAGTTGGTTGTTCAGCATACAGTGGTGGTCTTTGGTTGGCATCTCTTAAAGTTGCATCTGAAATGGCAAAGATATTAGGTTTCAAAGAAGATGAATCTATTTATAATGCAATTTTCGAAAAAGGTTCAGCAAGTTATACAAAGAAACTTTGGAATGGATATTATTTCAAATATGACTGTAGCAATAGTGTTCATGCCGACTCTATCATGTCTGATATGTTGGCAGGTCATTGGTATTTATTATCATGTGGTCTTCCATCATACATGACATTTGACCAAGCACTATCATCTCTTAGCATCATAAACGAATATAATGTAAACTCTTATGGTAAAGAACGTTGCGGAGCAGTCAATGGTATGAGACCAGAAGGTGTAGTCGACAATACTTGTTTACAATCAAGCGAGGTTTGGATTGGCACTAGTTTTTCATTAGCCGCTACGATGATTCAACATCACATGGATAAAGATGCATGGGAGTTAGTTAAAGGAATCGTCAATTCGTCATACAACAGATGGGGCTTCCAGTATCAAACACCTGAAGCTTGGGATTCAAATGGTTGTTATAGAGCTGGCGCTTATATGAGACCATTATCTATTTGGAGTATACAATGGGCATTACTCAAGAAAAAATATTTTGATTTCTATGATGAATCATTAAAATCAAATAATAATAGTAACAATAATATAAATAATGGTGGTTCTTTATTGGGTTAAAATATTAGATTTATAAAGAATAAAAATAAAAATAAAAAATTTAATTGTAATTAATTTTATAACTTTATTTTTATAAGATATATTTTTTTATTTTTTATTATAATTTTTGGTAGATATATAATCTTCATTTTTTATATTTTTTGTAATTTATCCAATTTTTTTTTTAACAATCATATATATATTATAGTTTATAAATATTATATAATTTTAGTAAAAATATTAAACAAAATAAAAAAAAATAAACACGTGTAAATAGGAAGATTATTTTCCATTTATTTATATATATGCATATATATATTACAATTATTTTAAATTTATCAATGATAAATATTCTAAAATTTCTCTTTCAGAGTAAAAAAACATATTTATAATATATAATAATAATAAATAAAGCATAATTAATATTTTCTTTCCTTTAGTATTTTTTTTTTACATAAATAGATAAATCATAAAGGGTTTCTAATTACTCCCCTTTATTTATATGGGGAAATACATATTAACCCATTAATTTTAATTCATGACCACTTTAAAAAAAACCACATATCAGATACTCTTATTTTTCAATATTATTTTTTTTAAAAAAAAAAAGTATAAATAGTTTTTAAATTATATTTTTAAACAAACAAATAAAACAAATAAAAAAACAAAATGATCTTTAGTAAGTATTAAAGAAGAAGGATAAAAAATAAACTATTAATATATTAATTGATTTTTTTTATAAAGATTCAATTGTCTCTCTTTCAAGCACTGGTTCATCAAAGAACTCTAACATTGCATCAGGTTTAGTATCTGACTCCTTTGGTGATAATAGTATTTCTTTAGTTAAGCGTGAACCAACCCACTGGTCAAAACCAAAACACCACCACTCTGATCCACACAAAAAACACTGGGGTCATTAAATTTACCCTTTTTAAAACTTTAATAAATAAAAATAAAACTAATTTTTATCAAATTAAAACTTTTTTCGTTAAACAATAATAAATATTGTTTTTATTTGTTACAATACATAATATATGTATTGGTTTTATTTATATATATTTTAAATTTTTTATCTTATTTCTTTTTAATAAAGCAATAATAATTATCGTGATCTAAATTATTTTCTTCTAAAATACATTCTGGGATTTGATCTACCATTCTTTCAAATTCACCATCTTCAAATAAGTGATAATATCTGTGATAAAGTTCATATTGAGATCCTGATTTTTCAACTTTATTATCTTTTTCTTCTTGTTCCTGTTGTTGTTGTTCCTGTTGTTGTTGTTGTTGTTGTTGTTCTTCTTCTTCATCTGTTTTATTTGACATATTAAATTGATTTTGGAATAACCATGGTACCATTACATCTTGATTTTCATATGATTTTCCTTTCCATTTTTGTGTCATAGCCCATGAGGTAATTAATAAAGTGCCATCTTTTTTTAAAACTCTAATGATTTCTCTTAATGCTTCGACTCTTCTTTCGAATGTGGAGAAATGGTGGATTACAGCGATTGAAATTGCAAAGTCAAATTGATCCGATTTGTATGGTAAGAAAAGACCGTCTGCAACCAATGCTTCATAATGTTTTTCATTACAAATAGTTGCAAAATTATTACAAATATCTGAACCTATTAAATGTACATTTGGATTTACACCTAAATATTTTCCATTACCACAGCCTACATCGCAACCAATTGAACCACATTTTCTGCTATTTAAAAAATTTTCAACAATTGGCCATGCTTTATAACGAGTTGAATCGAAATGTAATGCTATACGGTCATAAATTTCACGCACATGTTTAACTTCGATGTGATATGCTTCTCTATCTGTCTTGGGCTCTGCAAAGTCGATATTCTGTTCTGTGACTACTGGTGGTTGTTCTTTTGGTTCTTTATTTGCTTTCTTTTCTGCTTTCTTTTCTGCTTTTTTTTGTTCTTTATATTGTTGTTTTTGTAATTTTTTTAACTCATTTTTTGATAATTTATTTTCTACCTTATTACTATTATCACTATTATTACTATTATTATTGTTATTGCTGTTATTATTTAAATCTATATCATTATTATTAGAATTTGACATTTTATTTTTATTTTTATTTTTCGTTTTCTTAAGGAAATGGATTTTATAAAAAAAAAAATTAAAATAATTTTTTTTTTTTTTTTTTTTTTTTTTTTTAAAAATTTTAAATTTTTTCTTATCCATAATTTATTTAAATTATATTATATTTTATTATAATATGACACAGAATGGGCGAAATTGTAAATGATAACTTATTAGACGATATTCGGTTTTTTTATTATTTTTATAACAAAGGTAAGTTCCATTATGTTAAAAAGATTATAAAGAAATTATTAATAAATTTTTTTTTTTTTTAGAGATCCAATTTATTTGCTTTATTTTTATTTCATTGTTTGTTCTTTATTTATTTTATAACAAATTTGTAGAGCATAGATTAGACCCTTATAGATCGGTTGATTTAAAGTGTTTTTTTTGTCATGTGTATAATCCGATACCATATATTTATAAAAATCAATGGTCTTGCACTCATTGCGGACAATACAATGGATTCACTAAAGATGGCGACTATAATACAGTTTTACCATTAATGCACGAAATTCCAAAATCACCAATAAAATTAGCAATGGAAAATAAAAAACCAAATAATAATAATAATAGCAATAACAATAATAATAATAATAATAATAAAAATAAAAATAATCCATTGTTATTGGATGATTTATCACCATCACCATTTAAAATATCACCATTAAATTTATCGCCCGTATCAAAATCAAAAAATATGGTTGATGAAAATCAAAGATATCAACATCAACAAAACCAGCATTACTCATCACAGCTTTGTACAAACTGTCAATATCATTTACAAAACAAATTAGATTTATCAAAATCATACAATGCAATAAATGACGAAGATTTAGAAAACTATTCAAAAAAACTAGAGAGTGAATTTAAACTATGCCAGGATTGTTCTCAAATAACCAAAAATGAAATTAATAAAATAGATACATATATTATTTCAACATATTCAAAAAATTTAGGAGTAAATCAAATACCAATTCCAACGATAACAAGGAAGGATCCTATATTAACAAGATTTTCAAAATTAATAAAGAAAAATTCATATAAATTTTCAATTCTTTTCAACTCTCTCATCTATATATTTTCAGTTACAATGTTTTTAAATTCAATTCTTTTAGGTAAGTAGTAAATAATAATAATAATAATTGATATTTTTAAAAATATAAATTATTAAAATAAAATTTTTTTTTATATTTTTAGTTGGAAAATATCAATTTAAAGTTAATCTTATAAATAGTGAAGAATGGATATTGGCTTCACTTTTAGGTTTCAAAGTTTTTTTTAAGTATTTTAAACGTAACGTAGAATTGGAAGCTATTAAAACAATACTTAAGAACCCAAGAACCAATATTTTAACAAAAGAATTTATATTTTATACTTCTTTAATTGTTTGTACCATTTAACCACCACCTTTTTAAAGTTTTAAAAATATTTACTAACCAATCATTATTACTTTTCTTTCAGGTCTTTAAATTCATGACAATTAAATATCCAACTATCAATAATCAACAGGACTCAGTTCTTATAAACATTTGGAATCAAATATCAAATAACATTGTTTTTTCATCAATGTTTTATATAATATTACTATTTGTACATAAATCAGAAACAGCTTATAAATTACCAAAACCTATTTTTACAAATAAAATTCAAGATATTGATAATAGTAATGGCTATCATAATAATAGTAATAATAATAACAATAATAATAATAATATAGAAAGTTTAGTTAATTTATTTGATGGCTCTAATAGTAGAAAGATTTCAACTCCTGCAAAAAACCCATTCAATAATTCAGTATTTGAAGATCCAACAAACAATGTGGGTATAATTTAAACATATGTAACAAAAATCAAAAACTAACCAAAATTTTGTTTTTTTTAGGAATATAATGCAAAATTGTCAAAATCAAATAATTTTTTTGCTGAAGGTTTAATATCGTCATTAAATATTAATGAAAAACAAGAACCAAAACAAGAATCCCAGGGAAACAATGTAGATAATTTTATAAAGTCAGTTTTAAATAATATTTTTCAATTTCTATTAGGTATCATTAGAGATACTTTATCATTTTTAAAAAAATATGGTCAATTTATTATGGGCTTTGGTTTATGTTTTATCCTAATTGTATACAATCACCAAATCCAACATTTTTTAAATAATTATCTTTAAAAAAATAAAATAAAATAATCAAACTAAAACCAAATATTAATTTTAATTTGTTGTTTAACTACCATAGTGCCACACTTTTCTAAACACACATCACAAACCACACTTTTTTTTTTTTATTTTTTTTTTTATTTTATTTTATTTTGATTTTGATTTTTGTTATGATTTCTTTGTGGTTTATAATGACATAAATTATAGAAAAGAGTTGGATTTGTTTTTATTATTTTTCATATGCAGTTTATTAAAACTTAAAAAATATAATTTATAATTTTTAAAAAATAAAATTTTTTTTTTAAATTTAATTTTTTAAAATTTTTTAAAATTTTAAACTAACCCCATACGTCATTTTTTTTTTTTTTAAGATATATTAGGAAACCATAGGAAATTAAATAATAATAAAAACTATGAAGAATAATATTAATATTAAACCTTCCCTCATAGTTTTCTTTTTTTTCTTTATTAATTAAATTATTTTAATTATTATTTTTATTGTTTAGTTTTGCTTAGTTTTTTTTTTATTTTTTTATTTATTTTTTATCATTGTTTTATTTCTTTTTTTCTTTTTGTTAATATTTTATTATTAATTTATAATTATAAAAAATAAAAAAAAAAATAAAAAAAAAAAAGAAAAAAAAATAAAAAAGAAAAAAAATAAAAATAAAAAAGTATTGATTATAGGTAATTACTATTTTAAAATATATTTTATTTTTTATAATTATAATTAATATTTTAAATATTAATTATTATTAATAAAAATAGAATAATTAATCCAATATCCTCTATAGCTATTATTATTGTTTTTATTTTAGTTTGTTAATTTTCCTTCTCCACTTTTTTCCTTTTTTTTTTTTTTTTCAAAAACACAGTAATAATAAAATAGTAATAATAATAAAATCATAGAAACATAAAAATTAAATCATTTATCTTTATTTAATCTTAAAGTTAAATTAAATTTTTTAAATTATTTATTTATTTATTTATTTATTCAAAAATTTATTAAAATTATATTAAAATTAAAAGAGTAAATAAAACAAATAATAATAATAATAATAACAATAACATTATCTTTGTCCCTATATTTTTTAGTTATGAATAGTTTAATAACTATTTAAATTAATATTGTTATTTTTTTTTAAAATTTTTTTTTTTTTTTAATAAAAATAATGTTTAGTTTTTATTAATATAACTTTTTTTATAATAATCTATACAGATTTTCTTTTTTTTTGTTAGCATATATATAAATTTATAAAATGTCAAATCCTTTTGATAAAAACGAATCAACTTTAACTTCAACAGAAGTACCTAAAGATCAAAATGGTTTAACTAATTCAGTTTTACAAAGTACCCTCTTAAAAAGAGTTGGTGGTACACCAGTGGAAGAAAGATTAAAGAAGTTCCCAGGTGAAGTAGATAAAATCAGTAATGAAAGTGGTTCACATTGTGGTGCTTCTCCATTTGATCTTACAAAACAAGATCATAGCAATATAAAATCAGCAAATAATTTACAACAGTTACATAACCCATCCATAGGAAACACAAATGGTGTAAACCAATCGATATCACTTTCTTCAAATCAACAAAGGAGCATTTCATTAGAAAAGATTTACAACACCAACCAAAATAACCAAAGACATGATGATGAAAATTTCGTTTCAGTTCCTTTCAGCCCACCAATGCAAGCTTTTTCATTGGAAAGAACAACATCAAATTCGGAACTACCCTATATGAACCCAGATGGGGGTATCATTACAAATGCCAATACAAATAGAGCACTAGGAACAAGTGTTGGTATTTCAAATTCGACGGATCCTCTTTTAAACCCAGGTATTGATAGAAGCTATTATAATATGAATTCTAGAATTGGCTCCAATATTCCCCTTGATAATGCAAACAATGATAGCGATACTCGTGTCACCACAGCTGTTCGTAGCTCACCACAACTTGAAAATGTAGAAGATGAGGAAGATGACGGTCCAATGGTTAATATAAATATAAATCCTGGTCCATTTGCCGAGCCTAATGGTGCAGAAGTACCGGCTGTAGTAAGAAGAAGAAGAAATGGTGATACTATTGGTATTACAGTAATGGTGGCTGTAATTTTAATTATTATAGGTGGTTGTATTGCATTTTTATTCATTTAAACTTTAAAATATTAAATATAAAAAATAAAAAAATAAAAAAATATAAAAAAACCCAATTATTTAATTAATTAACTATAATTTTAAATATATATATAATATATATTATTATATATTAAAAAAACCAAATGTCGATACTATTATTTTATTATTGTTATTAATATTATATTTAATTCTTTTTAATTGCATGAACTATATAGTTTACAGATTTATTTGCAGAAAAAGACCATTCAAAAGAAATTGGATTATAAAATAAACCTTGAACATCAACTATTTCACAATTGTTGAATGAGAGTTGTTGAGTTAATTCATTTGGAGTTACATATTGCTCCCAATGATGGGTTCCAACTGGTACTAGTTTTAAAAGATATTCAGCACCTAAAATAGTTGTAAGATATGAAAGATTTGTCTTGTTTATTGTTGAAATGAAAATACTGCCTCCTGGTTTTAATACTTTGGTTAATAGCTCTACAAATTGTTTTGGATTATCTACATGCTCTATAACCTCCAACGAACAAACCAAATCAAAACCATTTTTTGATTCTTCCAAATTTAAAAAGTTTTCTATAGAGTGTTCAAATGAAAAACAATCAAAAAAAATTAATAATTTATTGTTAATTACATTATACCTTACAGTATATTGTTATTGTTTATAACTTACCAATTGTTGATTCTATATATTTTAATTTATTGTTGTTCAAATTTTCATCAAGTTTTGAATCTAATGAGGCATGGGAAATAGCCATTTTAACACTATTGCCAGCAGCATCCAAACCAATGACAGTGTCAGCACCCAATCTGCTTAAAGACTCGCATAATAAACCAGCACCACAACCAACATCGATTACATTTAATCCTTTTAATGGTTCTTGAATTGAATTGTTCTTTACGATTTCATTTGAATTTTTTAATCTATCAATGATATATTTAACTCTAAATGGATTCATTCTATGCAATGGCTTCATTGTTCCCTCTGGATTCCACCAATCTTTTGATAATGTATTAAAAAATGATATTTCTTCATTTCTTAAAGTATTATTATTACTATTATTATTATTATTATTATTATTGGTATTATTTATTTTTTCATTATTATTACTATTATTTGCAAAATTATTAGTATTTGAAGTAGTTGTATAATATAGTTTTTTTGTATTATTTATTAAAGATCTATTACAATTTCTTTTTAAAATATTAATCATTTTTAAAAATAATGTTTAAATAATAATTTAATAATTTTAAAATGCTTTTTTTTTTTTTTTTTTCGAACAACCAAAAATTTATTTATTTTTATTTTTTTTTTATAATTATATTTATTTTCTTTTTTTTCAAAAAATAAAAAAAAAAACAAATATTGTAATTAGAAAAGAGAAAAATGAAAATTAGAGAATTAATACCACTCTTAACTTCAAATCCACTCTTTTCAAAAGGCCCATATCAAAAAAAATCAACCTCATCATCAGATAATGAATTAGCATTTTCTCCTAAAAACTTTTTATCTGTAAATAATCAATCATCAGAGATTTATTACTACTGTCCGATCGAACAAAAAATATATGTCATTAAAATAGAATCAACATTAGATAATACAATAGGTTCAATTAAATATCAAGTAAGTATTTCATATTTCATTCACTCATTCTTTTTTTTTTCATTTATTAACATTATTCATAGGAATTAAAAGTTAAAATAGATTTCGAAGTATTTAAAATTGAATTAAATGAAGATTCAAGATATCTCTCTATTGTTGGTAATCTAAATTGCATTGTAGTTGATTTAAACCCACAAACTGTAAATTCATACTTTACCAATAATGAAATATATCAAGATGGAGAAAATAAAACCATTGGTTACGAATCACTCAAAGTTAGATACTCACCAATTGATAGTCCATTTTCAAACATATCAAGTATAATCAAACAAGTCGAATGGCATCCATTAAGTAATATTCATTTAGCTATACTATATTCAAATAATATTTTAAAGTAATTATTATTTTTCTACATGTAGAAACACCACCATATCCAACCAAAAAAATTAAAATTAAAATTTCATTAATAACCTCCAATTTTTTATTTTAGAATTTTTAATATTCAAAAAGAAAAAGAAGAAACAATAGAGCAAACATTCAATTTAGAATCACTTTACACCTATGAATCATTAAAGAATTTAAAGAACAACAATATTGAAATGGAAAAAAAGAATACAAAAAGTTTTATTTCATTTTGTTTTGCTCCCAATATTAATTTTTGGTCAAAATTTACTATATTTTTATTATGTAACGATGGTGAAGTTTACAATTTATGTCCAGTTATCAGGAACAATTGTTTAACAGGATCAGATCGACTCAGCTTAAACATCGAGCTGCCACGGGTT